CAAGAGGCCTTCCCACTTTGTATTTGCAGGATCGCACACTGATCGTTTCCTTGATTGTCGATATGGGTTTTTCACCCGGCCCATGAGGGCGCGGTTTTCCTCTATAGTAAGTTGTTGAAGGTCCGGCACGCCCTAGGGCACAGCGGTGTAGGAATAATAATAATGCCCCCGACCATCCTCGACCCATGGCATGTCCACTTCAATGAACCCGTTTCAGGAGATCCAATTCATCTCCACCTGACTCTCAAGGAAGGCACTGGCTATACCACTCGTTCGAAAACTTGCATGTGCCCTGGGCGCACTTTGTCGGACCGTTGTACCCATTCCCGCCACACTGGCCGTACAAGGGCACAGTACCGCTGCCGGAGCCACCGGTCGGGGTGCTCTGGGTGCTGGTCTTAGTGCTGGTCTTAGTGCTCGTCTTAGTGCTGGTCTTGGTCGTCGTCGTCTTCCTGGTCGTCGTCGTCGGGTTGCCGCCGCTACCACTGGAGCAAGTCTCTGTAAAGTTGGTAACGAAGCATGAAGAACCATCCGGGCCACTCCCGATCTTCTTTGAGCTGCCATTTCCTTTCACAACGCCAGTATATCTGTCGCATGACTTGCCGCTGTCCTGACAGGAGTTCGAAATTCTGCAGGTATCTAGGTTGAAAAAGAAAAGGCCCAGAGTTAGCAGACTGACTCCAATGAGCTCTGGTCAAACTCACCGCCGAAGTTGGTGTTGATTCCGCACAAGACCCCACCGTCTTTGGCGACCACGCCGTCAATAATCACATGACGAGGTCCTCCGTTGGCAGTACAGTCGCCACAGCTCCGGATAACCTTGCCATAATCCTCGGCATAGAAGTCCTTGATCGAAACGGTTCCGCGGCCGTTGAACTGGAACACCTTGTCCGAGGCTCCACGAGCTCCGCCGCCGATGACATACGAGGTCTTGCCTGCGGACTGCTTGAACGTGGCGGCATCTTCGCAGACCTTTTCCCACCACACGTTTGTCAGGGTGCTATCAATCGGACCGTTAGCAGGACGGTGCCGATCAAGAGCTAGAAAGTTGTTGGTAGGGTACTCACCAAGCACCTCGACAGTGAATGCCTTCACCTTGTGCTGCGCCAATGACAACGTTGGAGATGCTTCCTCCGTCCTCAACAATGAACATGGCAGCGGCTTCGTCCGTCTCTTTCTGGCCCTGGCAAGTGTCGGCTGCACCTGATGTCAGCTTGTGACGGACCCTTGAGTGAACGATGTGCCTACGGAATCTGTTGTATCTCTTCATTCCTCCATCGAAAGATCCGGACACGACCAAGGGAGTAGGCAGAGCAGTTTCGCCGCTCGCCTGCGGGAAAGTTGTTGTCGCCGCACCATTGACACCTATAGCGGCACCGGCAAGCGCGAAAATAACAACACACTTCATTTTGGAAACGTGTAAGAAAGGGCTTAACTGGGTAGTTGTGCTGATCCGATAACTGACAAGTCTGCGATGTCCGGAATAGGAGGAGACAGCGCTCGCTGTTGTCATCATTCTTATAGTCTTCTGGCCTCAAAACTCATGTTGTTTATTTAAAAGCAATGTTACAACCTGATTGGCGGTTAATTTTCTTCTATGTTTAAGTACGCTGGTTATTAAAGTCTGGAAACAACAAACCCAAAACGAACATCATTCCTACCGTGACTTCTTGACGTCTCGAAGTTTGGGTTGCACCGACTGTTCGATCCCATGCGGCTGCACTCCCCATGGGGACTCCAATGCCGCGCCCAGATTCATAGCTGTTGGTGGGCTATTCGGGAGCATACCTAGGCCAATTCAAACCTTAACCCGATGACATCAGACTTGAGATAGTAGTTCGCTTTGGCATTGCTCCCATGGTCTTGGCTTTGCAACCAAGAGAATGTTCTGGGGTTGAAACGGAAGACGGAGCTTGATATCCCGCCTATGGCGGAGCTTCTTCCGACCACTTGCCCAAGTTGGCCAAGCAGATAACCCTTTCAGATTCGGAAGCTGAAAAAGGTTTCAATCATCTACTTGCCCTTTCAATCTGTGGATGGAAAATTGAGAAGGGCTGAGGAGGCTTCAGGGGCGAGTTGGAAGACCTCGGAAAATTCCTGTGGGATTTGTATCAGCGCGCCCAGCCCACAGGGGCCGGCTATAGGGGGACGAGCCTCAACTGTGGCGACTAATGACGCTTTAGTCGAATTCCACGGAGCTCACAAATACGTCGCTCCTATGTCATTCACTATGCGGACAATGCTCCGTCGAGAACACTCTAAGGCCGGCGTCGTAGGCTCAACTTGGGAATGAGGTCTAATTGACCCTTGAGTGGCTTCGCACTTGCGATAGTTCTCGTGAACTACTCGAGGAAATTTCAGATGGCAAGCCGACTTGAGTTTCGTGACCGATTGGATCGACCACTGCAAAAAGCCAGACATATTTTCTCCCTCCTTTGTTCAACGTTATGTCGCCGCTGCGTGGATTGACTACCTGGTAAGTTTCGATGTCATTTCAACAGGATCGAGCGGCTCTTAGGTGTCCTGAGGTGCTGAGGTCGCTGAAGACGATCCGAATGGGACTCCCGGACAATAAGGCTCGTCTCTCGTACTCTCGTAGAAAGCTTGGGCTTAGATAGGTGAGTTTTCCAACTGTTTCATGTCGTCCGTAAAAAGAACAGTTATTTATCTGCAGCGGAGTTGTGACAATTACGGCACCAGGCATGCCCCAAGCCTAAGTGATAGTCGAAAGCAAATCAGCGCTCTATAACTCGACGAGCGTGGTGGGTGGTTTAGGGAGTGGGGGTGGGAGGAGGGGCAGGGTGGGAAAGCTGTGACCATGCAGCCCGGTCTGTTTTACGATACCAGCGAATCTTCCGAAACTGTACAGAAGGCAGGGAGCGTAGAGATTCAGAGCCTGACTGTGCATTATTCCGCTCGAGATATTTCGCCTGTGAACAAGCACCACGGCACTATCCTGCCAGACTGCTTACCTATTCACCTAAGAGCGCCTCGGATGGAAATCCGCAAAAGCAAACAGTTTCCAGTGAGGGTAGCCTGGAATTCAGAGTCGTAAAAGCAGCTCATTTATCTTATACCTGAGCAGCTCTGCAGATACTGCAAATTAATCGGCATAGGCACCTGAAGCGCAGACTTAGATTCGAGGATAGCGCGAGGCACTATCGCCCAACTACTTTGACGCCGGCGCTCTCGGAAGTCCCGCCGAGTTGGCTGACAGTCCTAAAGTGTCCAGTTAAATGCTAGAGCACGGACAAGAGAGGTGCAGGACAATCCTTAGTAAGTGGGTAAAGCGGGGCCTTACCATCCATAGAGAGTTCATGGATTGATGTAGCGGTCACAATATTTGGGACATGTCACGGGTGGGCGGAAGTGACACTGAACTTTTATATATACAAAGAGATAAGTGGCGGGAACTTTGCTCTATGTCTTAGTGTTCTTATAGAGAAGGTGCAGATGTCGCATAATCTTCTATATTACTAATACTAAATAGATCACGGATCGCCTCCTTATAGACGGTGTGTTCCAGTATGGATGTGCGTGTGTGTAGGTGTGTTATGTAAATGCCGGACATAACGCCCCTTTGAAAAGGCGGTGTCACGGCAGGACAGGTGGATAATCCAATGACAATTGTATTCGGGCTAAACTACAGCCTAGGCTCTATTCCTTCAGGTACGGGCAAGCTTGATTGTCAAGACGTATGGATGGATGGATGGAATTTATTTCGGCCGGAGGCGCGAAGCCTAAAGGGCCTTGGCACGCCTAACTACATCCAATTCGTTGACGTTCAACCATCAACTCGTACAAGCCCTCTACTCTCTCCCCTTTTCTCTCGCCCCCTGTTGCCTCTTGGCTTGTTAAGACGTAGCTCAAGGAGCTACGAACAGAACTCGCGGCAGCGAGATGCAGGATCTTCAAACCACATGGGGCCCGTGCTTCCCACACGCCGGGCCCCACCCGTGGGTCTGGCAGGCGCGGCGCAGTCGCCGTGACAGGCGGCCCTAAAGCCTTACCATGCAGATATCTACGCAACAATAGTGATGCATTGCCGATGCCGCGACGATACGTCAACTATCAGATTGGACCTCTGCTCCTACCTACTTTTTTCGACTTTTTAGGGGCAACCCAGCTCTATGCAGTCTCTTCTTTTTTTTTCGGGCTGCCTGGCGGCCGCCCCTGTAAGATAAAAGTGGTTTATTTCAGAGGCGGGGCTGTCATTTGCGGGTCATCCGGCGGATTGCCCACCAGTAGTTAGACTTGAAGCAATTCATTAAATTCCAAGTCAAGTAAAGGCAGCTGGTGCAGGTAAGTCAAGTCCAAATCTGAACGCATACTTACTCGTTTGACTCACTGGCAGCCGTGACATTGTGTTGGATTTGGCAGGTGGTCAGTTCACGGGTGACTAATGGCTTGGCACCAGGATTCTCAGGATCACAAAAAGGCCTGGAACGGTTTTGGAACAACACCGAGACCCGCATGATCATCAATTGAGTGGTTGCCCATCTTTTGGTGCCCAATCACTACGTGCAGGGATTCGTGGCTGTTGGCTTTCCAACACATTGCTGTGTGGGCTCAATTTTCCGATGTGGCCCCCCTCTAAGCGCCGAGCAGATTTTTACATGACGGATGTAATACTTGAAAAATTGAAAACAGTTCCACATCATTGCAACCTGGAATTTCGCTCCTCCTCTGACAGTGTCCGGAGTAAAAACTGCTAGCCACCCACCAGTCTCACCGATGCGCTGCCAAAGTTTCACTAGCCGGACTTTATCCTGATTGTACTAACTATATATAATTTTTCCCATGGACCGTTTCAGCGCCACTAGCCACGGCAGCGCTAGCGGCCAGCCAACCTAGGCTCGACAGACGACATGGACGGAAACGCCGGCGGCAGCGGAAAGGTAGATCTCTTAAATTGCTACCTTAAGGTAGACGTGCAGCTGGAAGGGAGGAAATGAGGTGATCTCAACAACTGCCGCTTCAGGCTTCCCCCTCGGTTCATGAAACCAACAGCTACGTTGGCAAGTTAATGCTTCCCATTGCGAGATGATTGGGGAATTCCTGGCTTGCTCCCTGGGGCAATAAGCGCTCTACCTTGCATAAGACACAGTGCGGGTTGATCGAGATGGGGAGCATCGTTGTCGTTCACCTATCCAAGGACGGCATCACGCCAAGTACTGCTTTGCGCGGCACAGCAGCGATCGCCCCCTGCCTGCGCCGTAGCTTGGGGACCCCAAGTTCAAAACGGATATTTGTGTTCTCGCGTTGTTCTCTCCCTTTTCGCCCTCGCCTTCGCCCTTGATGTCGTCCCGATTTCCAGTTTGAGCGGCGGCAAAAAGTGTTCCTGGGACAACTCCCTATAATGCAGCCCGCACCTTATGACGGGCTCGAAGCTGTCCGTGATCATGGTGCCTCGGACCTGCATGTGGTCAACGCCGCGCAGCATCGGAAGTACTATTATCCACCAACATACAATCCAGAGCCGCTGCCGCCTACGCCCAAGGCAAAGCGCACGATATGCGGTCTCTCCAAGCCCATTTTCTGGCTCGCTGTTGCTATAACGGCGTTAGTGATCGGTATGATTGGATTGGGGATTGGGTTAGGCGTGTCATTGGGCAAGGCGCAAAGCGCCAATGGCGGAGAGCGTGGTAAGCGTTGCCGTGCACCAAGATCAAAATGAAGAAGCTAAGGATCGCTAACACAAGTGAGCAGCTGGGAACCTGGCAGGCCAGACCACCAGCGCAACCGCAGGCCCTACCATCTCCTCGTCACCGTCCGAGTCTTCAGCCACGCAAACACGCTCCACCCTATCCACAGAAACATCATCAGCATCGACCACCACCTCCTCCCCCTCAACCACCGCCCGCAGCACAACCTCATCCTCAGCCTCCACCGGCGTCCTGCAAACAATCTGCCCCTCCGCCAACGGCACCATCGTCAACCCCGGGCGAAGCACGGTCCGATACCTTGTGCTATGCGACTCTGACTTTGGCAGCGGCAAGCAGACCTCACGGAGCTGGTCACGAAGACGTGGGACGAGTGCCTCACACTCTGCAACAACATGAACTACCGCCAGGTTCGCACTGATGTTGGACCGAGCTGGAACTTCGGCGGTACAGCTGCCGGTGGTGGGCAGGCGCCGGGGACATGCTGGTGTCTTGGGGGACCTGACAAGGAGGTTGTTGAGAATAAGGGTAGTGTGGTGGGTGTGCCGATTGAGGTGTGAGGTATCCGCAGGTGTGCTATGCTATTGTGGCGAGGAGTGACGGGATGCCTGGCCACCAGGCTGCTTGCTTGCTTTTGATGTTGGGTTGCTGTAGGACGTCGGATTAGCAGATGGTTTGCTCTTCAGCTCCGGGGGACGAGGATCCTGGGTCCAGTCGTACCTGGAGTTTTTCTTGGCATTAGGGTTGTCTACGAAGCCGATATCCATGTACCACTTAGCGACGGATGGAGTGCATTGTGCAATTGAATTGGCGTGTTTTGTGATCATAGTTCGTTTCACTTCAGGGCAGATACCTTCGTCCTGATAGACTCCTATCCGTAATCATCGGAGCTTCAAATTCGCCGATGTGACTGCCAAGGATGTGGCACCTGACTGAAGATGTCAGAGGTTCCATTAATGTTGGCGTTATTCCCGCCTTCCACTGGACAGCTGTGTTTACCACTCGCACTACACGAAACGGACATCAGACGTCACTACGACAATGACAACCACCACGAGCATGAAAGCAGTCCAAATCCTCGGCCCGAAAACCAACCCTACCATCACGCTCAACCCAACTCACCCCCTCCCCACCGCCGACACCGACAACGACCCCGAGGACCCCCTTATCCTCCTTCGCGTGCACTCAGCCGGCGTCACAGCCGACGAGCAGACCTGGCCCGAACTCTACAGCCACACCAACCGGGACCGCATCCCAGGCTGCGAGGTCGCAGGCACCGTCGCCGCCCTGCCCGAGGGGTATGGCATCAGCAGCATCAGCAGCAGCGACCGCCTCCTACTTCAAGTCGGTGACGCCGTCTACGCGATGCTGCATCCGGACCGCGCACGCGGCCAGGCCGAGTGGACGTATGCGCGTGTCAGCGAGCTCGCGCGCGTCCCGCGGAGCCTGCTCGGGTCAGGTCTCGCGATGGCGGCGGCGCTGCCCATCCCTGCGTTGACCGCGTGGGAGGGGCTTTGGAAGAGGGTACCGGGCGGGCTTCCCAAGGGGGCGAGGGTGCTGGTTACGGGGGCGTCGGGGGCGGTGGGGAGGATGGTGGTGCAGATTGCCAAGAGTGAGAAGTTTGAGGGGGTGAGGGTAGTGGCGTTGGCGAAGGGGGAGGAGAAGTTAGAGGCGGTGATGGCGCTGGGTGCGGATGAAGTAGTGGATTATGGGTTGGAGGGATGGGAAGACCTCGTGGGGAGGAGGAGTGTGGATGCTGTGTTTGATGCCGCGGGCGGAGAGGTACTAACGCGCGCGTGGGGGACGGTCAAAGACGATGGCGTCGTGCTGACCATCGCAGATCCGCCCCCGGCTTGGGCTGTTAAAAAGGTGGTGCCGAAAGAAGCGGAGGGACGTCCGGGGGTGAGATATGTCTATTTCATTGTTTCCCCGGATTGGAAGGGCCTGGGTGAGATTTCAAATTTGATCGATGAGGGAATACTCAAACCCCTTCCTGTCGTTGAGTTCCCCCTCGACAAGGCCGTGGAGGCCTGGGAATTCGCTCAGCACCGCGGGCGGCAAGGAAAAGTCGTTATTAACCTTGTGTCCGATGTTTGATAGTCCTAGCTGTTGACCAGGCAGATACAACTTTGCCCTATCAACCTCCTCCAGTTCAATAAACTGTGCGGTCGCTGTGGTGTCGCCTACGGAGCTCTATGTAGTAGTGCCTGTTGCGGAGGGCTTAAGGTGCAAACCTTGGGGTTCCGTGGCTCTCTGTGCACGCCCAACGACAACGAAAGGCCGTAAGCCGCAGAGAGCCCGGTAGAGAGGTTCGGCCTCGCCTCTTTGACTAGATACTCCCTTGAGGCGGATCTTCGCTATGTAGTTAGCTTAGGTAGCACGTTCGTAGGGACTGCGAATCTAGGGACTTCAAGGAACGAGGCCAGCAGATGACCTTGACCACCAGCACGAGATTCTGTTCCAAGACAAAACCCTAAGGAGACACGACGGCCTCA